GGTAAAATTATAATTATTAAATATTTTGAGTTTATTAATATAATAACTATTTATTAATTTATAGGTTGATACTGTTTCAATGGAATCAAATATGAATAATGAATTTAAATATATTATTCATGCACATGATCATTATTCAAGATTTTTTTGGGCTGTAGCAGCAAAAAAAAAGATACAATTACTGTTCGTGGATTTTTAATTTAGATATTCAGTGAATATGGTCCTCCAAAAATTCTTCATACTGATAATGGTGAAGAATTTATTGCTGATATTATTAATCAGCTTTTAAAGGAATGTCCTACAATGAAAATTATTCATGGTCATTCTCATCATTCTCAATCACAAGGATCAATTGAACGTGGAAATCAAGAACTTAAAAAAAAATTTGGGCATGAATGAATAATACAGGACGCAAAGATTGGAGTAATAGACTACATCATATAATTTGTAAGCAATTAAATTATTTTTAACTTGATAAATATTTAATTAATTTACATCAGGAATTCAAGATATTAACAGAATTGCAGCAAACTTCAAATTTGGTGACGAAAGATAAAGAAAAATATCCAGTTTAAAAAATACAAATAACTCCGTATCCAGTGAACCAAATTAAATGATTTTGATACCATTAGAAAGATCTTGATAAGGCGCATCTAATGGTATCAAAACCATTTAATTTGGTTTACTATATACAGAGATATTGCATCTCAAAAACAACGTACAAAATCGTTCAAAATTTTAAAAGATTTTGTACGTTGTTTTTGTGATGTGATATCTTCACATCTAGAAAACCAAATTATATGATTTTGATACCATTAGAAAGGTCTTTATAAGGCGTATCTAATGGTATCAAAATCATTTAATTTGGTTTTCTAGATACGAAGATATCACATCACAAAAACAACGTACAAAATCTTTTAAAATTTTGAATAATTTTGTACGTTGTTTTTGAGACGCGATATCTCTGTATATAGTAAACCAAATTAAATGGTTTTGATACCATTAGATGCGCCTTATCAAGACCTTTCTTATGGTATCAAAATCATTTAATTTGGTTTACTGGATACGGAGATATTTGCATTTTTAAACTAGATATTTTTCTTTACCTTTCATTACCAAATTTGAAGTTTACTGTAATTCTGCTAGTATCTCGAATTTTTGATTTATTTAATTATTGAATTTATTATAATTATTAAAAATATTAATACTTATTTAAT